TGTGTGTGTGTGTGTGTGTGTGTGTGTGTGTGTGTGTGTGTGTGTGTTTGTGTGTTCAGACTGCATTCCGATGGTTTCTCTGGCAGTCGGCGTGTCTGCTTGTAGTTATAGAGTTTGAATTCTGCCTCAACTCGTCTCTCTCTCTCTCTCTCTCTCTCTCTCTCTCTCTCTCTCTCTCTCTCATTTACTCACTCACACACACACATAGAGACCTGAAAGCTCCATAAACAGAAATCTAGATGTCAACAAAGAACAACCTGGATCATATTCCTCTAACAGCAAATCTGTAAGATTTTATGTAGAAACAAGTGTAAAAGGACAGAGAGGGGTACTTCTCCAGTGATGACAGAGTAGGTTTTGGTCCTGCAGATAAAGACAGCTAATATTTATCCAGCTGGACTCTCTCTCTCCCTCTCTTTGCTGGTCTCGCTCTACTCCCTCTGCTTTCTGTATCTGCTGCCGTCATCTTTTACGGGATCAAAAACACCTTTTATCACAATCAACTTCACCTGTGTTTCCAAATGCCTCTGGAGTATTTCCCCCTCGTCAGTTAGTTATTTGTGAAACGCTGTCTCCTTCTCGTCCCAGCTGTCCTGCGCTGCCTCCAGCAGAGCGGTGAGCCCCCTGGTGGTCCCGGGGGACTTCAGTCAGCCGGCCAGTCCCTTCGGCTGTCTGGATAACTCTGCTGCCAAACACAAGCTGGGCCTGAGACACAAAGCCGGCAACAGGAGGAAACCTGTCGCTGTAAGACATGCAGACGCACACAAATACACTGGCACGAGCATGTATACACCAGTTCAGCCAGTCATGGGGTGCTAGCTAGAAATGATGTGGTAAAGACCGAAATGTCAGATGAGAATGAATGACGGGTCTCCTGTCCATGCAGAGGCTGGAGTGGAAGGCAGAGGGAGACTCTGTGGTGGAGGAGATACTGAACTCCTCCATAACAGAAGCTGCAGAGGAGCGACCCAACACACCAGAAGGTCAGCGCTGTTCTTTTTTTCTGCTCAACTGCACTCCATCTTATTTATTTATATTTTACTTCAAATCAATGACTCTGAATGGAAGTCTCTTGCTGTCTGATATTAAAATGAAATAATTGTATCAAAGTGAAATTTCGTATTGCAAATTGAATTATCAGAAATACATAATTACTCCCAAATTTATAATTAAAATAAAAGCTCAATTGACAATAAATCTTCAGTTTACATCTGAGCACAACATTGCCTTAGTGACAAAGAAATTGAATGTGTTTTTTTATTTTCAAATTTGCAGACAATTTGCAAGCTAGACTTTAATTGCTCTAATTAAATGATGTATAGTAAATATATCAATAAATATGGCTCTTATGATGTTATTTTATATTGGTTGACTTAGAGAAATGAGAGATTCCTACCATTATAATAAAACATTAGAAATTAGTTAAATTCAGCATATGATTGATTTTCAAATGCAAAAGTTTTCAATTTAGTTTTCAAGTTTATGTCGTACATTGTCCACCAATTTGAAGAAATAGAAAAATCTGTGACTTTGATTTGGTTAAATAATTTCATTTTAACATTGGCAGCCATAGACTTCCATATCCTTGGTGCCATGGTGTCATGTCAGGTTGACCTCTGAGACCTTTGCTTCTGTCTGTGGTCCAGTTGTAAGTGGTGAAGAGCTGAAACCAACGGGGAATAGGGAGGAAGAAGAAGAAGAAGACGAGGAGGAGGAGGAGGAGGAGGAGGAGGAGGAGCCACAGCATTCCAGACACTCCCTGTTGAGAGATGAGGAGAGGGAGGAGGGAGAGGACCGGTCCCAAGCAGAGCAGGATGTTTCTCATGGCCCGGACTCTTCCTCTCCTCCTGAGCTGCGTCTCTCTGAGGAGGAAGTCCCAGACGCCCAGCCCTGGCCCTCCTCCAAGAATAGCCCCATGGACTCCTCTCTGGACAGTCCCAGGTGATTAAATATCATTTCCTCCTTGTTCTCTCCTCCTCTCAGTCTCTCTTGTTTATGTTTCCTCCTTCTAACAATCTGACCCCTTGATATCTGCTTCTAGAGCAACGCCAGAGCCCCCTGCTGGTCCGAGAGAGTACTTGCTGGACCCTCCAGGCATTGCCTACGGAGCAGAGGAGAGGGGGGTTGAAAGTGACTTGACGCTGAGCGGAGAAGAAGATGGAGTCCAGGACAACGGGGAGGAGGAGAGCTCCTTCTTACAGGAAGTGCTGAGCTCCTTGAAGACTCCCCTCTCGTCTTGCTCACTGGGCATGGAGCCGGAGGGTGTGGTCCTGGAGATAGAGGAGGTGGAGAAGGAAAAGGAAAGAGAAGACGTCGAGGTAGAGGAAGGTGAGGAGGTGAAAGAAGAGGAGGCAGCGGTGGACGAGCTTGTCGGTTATCAGGCTGCTGCCGCTGGCTCCCTCCTGTCAGATCACACCGCGGAGGAAGAGGAAGAGGTCGCCACTTTGAGCACTCCTTGTCGAGATGTTGAAGAAGATGAGGAAGAAGAAGCAGCAGAGGAAGAGGAACTAGTGGTGGAACACGTCTGTCAACATGATGTATGTATCTTTGATTCATTTTTTATATTGTGAGTGAAGTAGTTTTCAAACTCAATGCAGGGAGCTTGACTTATCCTTATCCGAAACCTCTTAAACTTGTCTGACCAAGAGGGAATCACCAAACTCTCTCTTTCTATATATACATATATAAGTAAGGTTATTTGTTCTGTTCCATTTGTGGGCAAGTTTTCACTCACAAAAATGTCACCCTAGATTAAAAAGGGTATTTTCCTACCGCAGCCCTTTTGTGCTGATGGAAATCAGCAGACACAAACAAGACAAACAAACAAAGCTGTCCATGACTGAAAGATTCCATTACAAGGCAAGGCAAGTTTATTTGTATAGCACATTTCAACAACAAGGTAATTCAAAGTGCTTCACATAAAACCATTAAAAGCATCAAAACATAAGGCAAAGTTTTATCACATTACAGGTGAGGTTACACTGTCAGGTGTGATGGAGAATGATCTGCTCCATTCAGATCCTGAGGCGGCTGTTAGATTGGGAGAACTAACTCTATGAAGGCAAATCACTCTCAAAATCCGAGAGCGCAAATGAGATCCATTTACGCGCGCGGCTGTTTGATTTTCGCGCGCGCATTTTACTTTGACGAGCGCTTTTGCGTCACTCCGCGTCACAAGAGGTTTGAGTATCAAACACACATTGTCTGTAATAGAATGATGGAGTGAATTTAAACCAATCTGAGCAACTTGACTTTAACACATTTTTAATTATTGTATTTAACAACTCTTAACATCATTTGTCTTTCATCAGCCTCTACAGTCTGAAAAGTTTACAAAACCTGTCAGACAAATGTAGAACATCCTGAGCTGTAGTGGAGTAGTGTTTAGTGGCCGATTGAAAACCACCTCTATCAGAACTAGCGTCTGTGTCAGAGTGATATCCGGTTTATCCCAAGACGAGGATTGTAACCAATTAGATGTAGAGATACAATGGCGACTGGGTCCGCCCACTTACTGTCAAAAAGAAAAACTACTCGCGAGCGAGCAGGAAAAAGACTCGCGAGCGAGCAGGTTAAAGTTTCGCGAGTGAATTCTGCTCGCGCAAGAGTGAATTTTGCTCGAGGAGTGACGTAAAAGCGCTCCTCAAAGTAAAATACGCGCGCATGGATCTCATTTGCGCTCTCGGATTTTGACAGCGATTTGTCTTCATATAACTGTTTGAAATGTTTTCATAGTGCCAAAATCTAAAAACAATCGAGTTGTTGGACCTCTTGGCAAGCCGTGATGTACATTACTCTGATGCAGTTACCAATATTTGATGTCAGTGTAATATTTAATCTCCAAATACATAAAGTTCACTGTAAACCGTTGCCTGTGTACATAACCAGCAGACATGCTGGCAACATTGGCATTCATTTTAAGTCGGGTTTCCGGCCACTTGATGAATATCAGTCCAATATTCACTCTTTTAGCTCTGTTTTTGGTCTCCACCGACTCCTGTCCTGAGGGAAATATCTGTTTCTTACCGGCTAAATCGCTGACACTCTCTTTTATCTTCCAGCGAGAAGAGGACGGAGAGAAAGAAGAGGCAGAGGAAGTCACCCCCGGGGAACAAGATGATGTACAAACAAGAAACGCTGTCAACCAGGCAGAGGAAGAGAGAAGAGAAGAAGAAGAAGAAGAAGAAGAAGAAGAAGAAGAAGAAGGGGAGGAGAGTGAGGGAGAGGAGGAGGCGATAGAGCTGGAGAAGGAGCCGGAGGTGGAGGAGGAGGGACGGGAGAAGAGGGAAGAGGAAGAGGTGGAGGAGGCAGAGGTGAGAGTGGAGGAGGCAGAGGAGGCGATAGAAGAAGAGAGGGAGGCCGCAGAGGAGATGACGGAGATGTTTCATGAGGCAGCAGATGAAGAAGTTACCATGTTGCCGCAGGAGGAGGATGAGGGTGTAGATGTTGTGGTTGGAGATGACACTGTGAGCATAAATGACGAGGAGACAAAGCTGGGGGATACGGCAGCGCATCAGAGTCGCGCAGCTTCCGATCGAAGCTTCGGAGAGGAGAGGGAAGATGGAGAAGAGAAGGTGGAGGAAGGTGTGGAGCTCAGCCGCGCGGAACAAAAATCCGAGCAAGAGGAGGACGAGAGCGAACGAGATCTGCAGCAGGAAGGCGTGGAAGCGTCCATGGAACAAACTAATGTTTCTGCCAAGCCTCCTTCTTTGTCACTTTCAGGGTCACATGACGAGACTTGGTCACAAGAGAGTGGAGCCATCAGTCCCAGTAAGACGGGCACTACCACCATCCACATAAATCTACTCTCTCCAAGCTCAGAGAAAGCCACGCCTTTCTTCCAACAGTCCCCAACTGCCACACACCCCAACGAAAGTGGGACACCCGGTCATGCCGCAGCAGCCACAGAAGAAGAAGAACCAGTTGACGATGTGGAAGCCGTAGAAGAAGAAAAACAGCCGGCCCTGGAGGGAGAGGCTGCACCTCCTGCCTCTGCGGGCGAAGAGGTTAACCAGCCGCCCAGTGGTTCAGATCACAGCAAAGCCCGCTTCACCATCGCCCCCGCCTGGCAGAGGTCACTCTCTGCGGGGGAGGCAGGGGAGAGTTTGACTCCTCCCTCCTCCCCGCCCGCCGTCACAGGGCCCGGAGGTGTGGAGGTGGAGGCGGAGGCTGCGAATAGCAAGGACCCCGAAGTGGAGGCAGAGCCAGCCAGTTCGGCCAAGGCGGAACTGGTGTTGAGCCCTGGTAGAGTGAGGAGTGCAGGGGCCGCCGCTGCACCACCTCCATCATCCATTCAACCTCCGACCACGGCGAGCACAGAAGGTAGGGACAAAGGTAGAACATGAAGATGTTTTTTCACTTGGGTCTTTGTCTTGGTGGCCCGCCCTAAGTCACATGAGGTGAACTTGCGGTTGGAGTTTAAATAAAGTTAAACCACAGACCGGACTTGTCCCCCTGCAGAGAGCTCCGTGGTAGCGGAGGGAAACCCCGACAGTCGTTTTGGAGTTCGGCTGAGGAAGACGTCAGCTCTCCACCTCTTCAGCTCGGAGGAGGAAAACACAGAGGTGATCATCTTCCCCTTGTGCTTCTAATGGTGATCCTTAAATAAACAACAATAAGATGTTAATATGTTGCGTATGTGTTTGTAGCTTGTTTCTGCTGCCCCCGTGTGGCCAAAAACAAATGAATGAACGCAGGTGTAAATTAAGCTTTTGTATTGAATTTTGTATTCATCATTCTTCTCCAGACTCCAATCGAGCCTCCAGCTCAGCCAACCAGCTGTAGAGTTGACTCACAGCAGCCAATCAGCATGAAGCCCTCCATAAGTCAGCCAGTCAGCATCAAGCCCGCCCTCCCTAAGAAACCAGACGTACACGGAGACAGCGGAGGGAAAAACAAGCGCATGTCAGGTGTGTGTACACACACAAACACATCATTTTCATTTTCGTGCACAATGCTCACAACTTTCTGATGCATATGTACGGGTAATTGCCCAAAACTTGGGCTGAATCAGATTTGAAGAGTCAGCAGCTCCTGATTCAGCACATGGTGTAACAGTTTGTCTGCTACTGTCTTATTGATCCAGACCCGGCTCCAGTTCGTGGTCTTTCTGGATCTAATCCTCCCAGCTGGATCTCTGTGGCCAAACAGAAACAGAAGATCTACAAAGAAAACTCGCTCGATGAGATTACTGTCAAGAAGGTAGTGTGTGTGTGTGTGTGTGTGTGTGTGTGTGTGTGTGTGTGTGTGTGTGTGTGTGTGTGTGTAAAAATGCATTGTAGCTGACACGATGTTTAGGTTTTGCAACAACCTTTTACAACAGTCCAAAAATACATGGTTCAGATGGAGGAGCACTCGGATGAGATGATTGTATTGTAAACCTCGTCTTGGCTCACTGCACGTTTCCAGCCACATAACCTACTGTGTACATCTGTGCTGCTCTCTGTCATCAGGAGGAGCAAGAGAGGAAGAGTTCACTGCCACTGTATGTCAGCTCAGCTGCAAGCAGGGAGCACAGCAACAGAACAGCAGAGTCAACCGGCAAAGGTCAGAACACACACACACGCGGTCATTTGAAAGTGCAAAACACGTTGTATTGCCAAAAACGCATTTACAAAAGACCCATCAGCCGCAGCAACAAAAGGCTTTATTTAGTTTAGTCTAATTTAAATTTGAATTTGTATTCTGCTCAACACGCTGGATTTCTGTAAGGACCTCAGGTGTAGTTTGAGTTACTCATCAGGACTCTCCTGCTACCGGCTCTGCACTTGTAGGGTGGACGTGAAGCTGTTGACTGATGCAGGTCTGACCTCATGTGGACAAACTGTGCTACTGCAGCCAACCCAACACCAGTCACCAGTTACTGTTTTAACTTTCACCCTCTGTGTTCACAAAGACATCAAGACTGTCATTTAACAGAAATATATATTATTTTTGTTCTTACCTGCTGAGGAAGGTGGTTAAGATAAATTACATATCTCAGTGAAGTTAATATAGTTCTGGTCCAGAATACCAGTACTGTTTGTATAATGTTACATGAATCATTGAATGCAGTTTCCTGGATATTTAGTAACATTCTAGTCTAAATAAGTATTGAGCTATTACTGAAAAAACGGTTTTTTTTAAAGTTTTTTTAAAACTTTTTAATTCAAATATTTGTATCCAGCCAATCAAGATTATACATAATGTATATTGTTTCGTCAATGCTCATTTCCATTTATATGAAAAAAATACGATAATATTAATGTACATTTAACAGATGATACAAAATATAGTTTGAGATTGGTAAAGTGTTTTAAAAAAAAAAGCTAATTTCAAAGAGAAATGAAGAAATTTCAAAATAAAATAAAAAAATAATTTAATTAAACAAAATACAAAAAAATAAAGGAAATATGTATATATCGACATGTTTCCTCATTATTGATATGCTGACAGGTTAAATACTAAGAGGACTGATACATCACATTGTGACGTGTGTTTGTATTTTTTTTCTTCCAGTGAGTCCGTTGGAGATCAGTAAGCATTCGGCGTCTGTAGACAAAGATGCCAGGAGGTCTCTCTCTCCTCCGACACCGGTGCCACCTCAACCTTTTAAATCCCAGTCGCTGCCTCACCCTGTCCCTCCAAAACCCCAGCTTCCCCCGGCCACCGCCAAACACCCACCGCAACCTATCCCTCCCCAAAGGTCCCCTCCGATTCCTGTGCCCCAAAAATCTCCCTCTTTCACAAGCCCGCCGGCGCCCTCCAAAATGGCCACCTCATCCAAGACGCCACAGCCCCAGAGCACGACACCCACCTCCCCTCCCTATTCCTCGAGAACCGCCCCGGAAAAGTTTGGCTCGAGAGCTCCGGGGCTTTCCAGCCAGACCCCGGCCTCTCAGAGAGGCCTGCCTCCCCCGACATTGCCCCAGGATGAGCCTCCCTGGATGGCCCTGGCCAAGAAGAAGGCCAAAGCCTGGAAGGAGATGCCCCAGATCGTCCAGTGACTGGTACTGGTTTCAGTGAGATCTTGTACATAGGCCTAAGCGGGTCGGATCTGACAGCGGGCCCAAGAGTCTAGATGGACCTGAATGCATTTGCACACAAAGAGTTGCTGTTTTCTGTTGTTTTCTTACTTCCTGTTTTCTATCCTGGTTTAAGTCTTCAGATTGGTGCAAACCAGCCAGTCACAGCTAAAGACCGGCTCAGTCTAACTCTTAACTCTTTACGTCCTCATGGTGTACATTGATGTTTTCTAAATGGCAGGGTGGGACCCCCAAAACCTTAATGCGTCTTACTTGAAGTGGATCCATATTTTTTCAAAATGTGCCTGAATGAGAGGAAAATATAAAAAAAAATGTATCCAAAGTAACTCAGATGATTCCAACCGATATCAGAACATATTTCAGGGAATACAGGATTATTTTCTTAAAAATAAAAGATTTATTCATAGAAAGTTGGTTAAAAGTGACGATGAAGAGAAGGAGAAAAAAAGTGTGTGTGTGTGTGTGTGTGTGTGTGTGTATTGTAAGGCAGTGGTACAGGCTCACATTTTGAGGAATGTGGAAAATACCATGACCAGAGTGAATTGGGATAACTTCAAAGTTAAGCTGGAGTAATAATTGACTGGAGCAACTGCTGCCGCTCATGAGCTTCGGTAGAAACTTGCTGATCCACGTCTCCTCGATCTGCCGTCTGTGCGTCGGGTTCTTTAAACAAATATATTTCTTGTAACACGTTCCACTGACACTAAACCAATGTTTGTCGTGCTCGAGTCTGTCCAACGTGTTCCGGGTTGTCATCATAAATTATATTTTTTAAATTCTTCTCTTTTGATATTTTGCATAGGAAACTGCACAGTGTCTGTTTGCGTCCCACAGACATCTGTCATCTCCCAAAAGGTCATCTATTCAGGAATCCAGCAAAACTATCATCACATCCACTTTTTATGTGTTTTTAATACTTTTCAGTGCGTCATGTTGGCCGCGGGTTTGGAAACATTTTCCGATCATAACCAAACATGTAGTTGAAACAGCAACATTAATATATCACTCGGAGATTGATTTGCTTCACATCACAAAAAGGAAAGTGTTCACGGCTGAAAAGTTTCCTTTGCATCAATTAAATCTATCTATCTCACAGTAACTATATATTATTTTTATGCATTTTGTTTTATTTTGTATTGCCTTTTGAGAATTTGTCTTGTACATAAAATGCACAGTAAAGAACAAATTAAACCTTTTTTTCTGGGTTCTTTTGTTATCTGTGTGTATGTCGACTGTATGTTTCTCACACCAACACAGCCAAGTTCAGCCATTTGGGTTTGAAAGTTAAAATGCCTCCAAGGCACAATAAATCACCGTGTGGAACACTGATGAAAGCATCAGCATGCATGTCTTGTGTGTCTCTAAGTGAGGCATTTGGAATTTTTCAATCCACATGTCTTGACTTCTTTCTATGCCACAAGAATATGTTTTTTTTTTTAACTGAGGTCAACTCCTCCGTAGTTAGTCTGGGAATGTGTAGCAACCTCCGTAGAGTTAACATTTTACAATGAAAAGTTAGCACTTGGTGGATGTTTTTATAGCACTTTTTTACTATATAATATATTTAGAATTCTCTGTTAGTCAAATAAATAAAAGGATTCATTCATTTATTATTTCCCGACCAGAACTGCATCCCCAGGAGTGTAATGAGACATTTGAAAGAATATAATTCATCAGTTAACTGAATAAAAAGTACTGAAACTTTTCTTGGACTCTCTTCAAAACAGCCTGTTCTATTAAAGTGCCTCTTAAAGGAGTACTGCAGCATTTTACTATTACACTTCTCAAAAATGGGGCACACACAGAGAAACACATTGAAAAACAAATGGTCAAAATGAAAGCAGTACAAGCGGATATCTCCTGATTGTTTCCTGATGTCCTTTCATTAGACCCTCAGTGGCTGGTCGATGCTCTGTCTGTCAAACTCTGTTTGTAACGCAGGCTCTCAATTACTCTCCGTTGACGTCATCAGTGTAGACTTTAGAGAGCTCCTCCTGAGTCACAGCAAACATTACACAACTGTTTTCACAGGCCGAGTCGTACTTCCTGTGACGAGCAAGCTGACCTTCGTGTGTAAAGGTCTGTGTAATGCCCCTTTAAGCAACACCCCGAACCCTTACGCGCTCATTTAAAGCCACTTCCATTGAAGCGTCTCAAGCTTTGAGACGATGGCGGACGATAAATCAAATCAACCCAAAACATTCTAATGAGACTTATTAGCCCACTTCTCACAATTCTAAAACAACAGATTTCAGATCTGCTGTTTCTGATGACTCTATTTTGGATTTATTACACAATAAATGACACTGACTTATTAAAAACTGATGACTTATTACAGCCATCTCCGTCTTGAACACTCACTGTACAGTCTTGGCATGTACACGTACGCACATCTGTGTTTGTGAATTCCTCCTTGCGTGTGTGTGTGTGTGTGTGTGTGTGTGTGTGTGTGTGTGTTTCTTTGTTTGTGGTGCAGGGCCGAGATCCTTCTTGTGGCACTGGCACCTCTGTGGCACTCTGTGGCACTCAGCTGCACTCTGTGGCACTTCAGCGGAAAGCATCAGCTGTGGCAGGCGAGCGGTACTAGTTCGGCACCCGTCAAGAAGCGGCGGCGCTGAGGGAGCGGAGCCACATTTCCTGAGACGTTTCCTGAGAACACACATTGTTGCACATTGTTGTTACAGCAGGTCAGCTTCCGTAAATCAGTTTTATGATTTTAGTTGAGTCACCGGAGCCACCCGTTCTCTGTATGCATCCTTAGAGTAATTACGTTGTACTTTTTTGTTTCTCATTCATTTTATTTAAGTATGATTTTGCTGGTTTTGCAACAAAAGGGAACATAATACACTATACATAATACAACTATATTACAAACTGTATTGCATCAAACAATCCACAGATTAATCGAAAACTTGATTCTTGCTGTGTACATGGATAAATTAATATTGAATCGCATGTAGTCAACTATTGTTAACATACTCCCATCAGCCCACGTTTATTTATTCATATTTATTTATTTTTCTTCTAGTGTTACCCTGGTTACCATTTTCTTGCATACGGTCATTCTATTACCTTCACTTTTATTTTGACATATTCTTACTTCCGGACTACCTGTTTTACTTTGCGTTGCTCTTCAAAAGAAAAAACAAATAAACCATAAAACAGACTATCAAAACATACACTGACCAGGGGGGCACCCTCTGGCACTCTCTGGCACCCTGTGGCACCCTGCGGCACTCTCTGGCACCCTGTGGCACTCTCTGGCACTCTCTGGCACCATGTAGCACTCTCTGGCACTCTCTGGCACCATGTAGCACTCTCTGGCACTCTCTGGCACCCTGTAGCACTCTCTGGCACTCTCTGGCACCCTGCGGCACTCTCTGGCACTCTCTGGCACCCTGTGGCACTCTCTGGCACCCTGTGGCACTCTATGGCACCCTGTGGCACCCTGCGGCACTCTCTGGCACCCTGTGGCACTCTCTGGCACTCTCTGGCACCATGTAGCACTCTCTGGCACTGTCTGGCACCCTGTGGCACTCTCGGGCACTCTCTGGCACCATGTAGCACTCTCTGGCACTCTCTGGCACCCTGTAGCACTCTCTGGCACCCTGCGGCACTCTCTGGCACTCTCTGGCACCCTGCGGCACTCTCTGGCACCCTGTGGCACCCTGCGGCACTCTCTGGCACCCTGCGGCACTCTCTGGCACCCTGCGGCACTCTCTGGCACCTTGTGGCACTCTCTGGCACCCTGCGGCACTCTCTGGCACCCTGCGGCACTCTCTGGCACCTTGCGGCACTCTCTGGCACACCCTCTGGCACCCTGAGGCACCCTCTGGCAGCTTGTGGCACCTACAGACATACATATACATATAAGCAGAGGAAGAGTGAAGATATTTTCAGACATGTATTTTTGGATTGGACATTTTATTAGTTTTAATTTTTAATTTTTTTTTTTACATATATACTTTTAAATGATAATAAAACAGATGATTTATTTTCATTATTTTAGCCGATTGTTGTAAATGACTGTAAAAGTAATAATTTGGAAAGAGTGTATTATGTTCCCTTTTGTTGCAAAACCAGCAAAATCATACTTAAATAAAATGAATGAGAAACAAAAAAGTACAACGTAATTACTCTAAGGATGCATACAGAGAACGGGTGGCTCCGGTGACTCAACTAAAATCATAAAACTGATTTACGGAAGCTGACCTGCTGTAACAACAATGTGCAACAATGTGTGTTCTCAGGAAACGTCTCAGGAAATGTGGCTCCGCTCCCTCAGCGCCGCCGCTTCTTGACGGGTGCCGAACTAGTACCGCTCGCCTGCCACAGCTGATGCTTGCCACTTGCCGCTGAAGTGCCACAGAGAGTGCCGCTGAGTGCCACAGAGAGTGCCGCTGAGTGCCACAGAGAGTGCCGCAGAGTGCTGCTGAGTGCCACAGAGTGCCAGAGAGGTGCCAGTGCCACAAGAAGGATCTCGCTGTCTCTCTGTTTGTGGTCAGAATTGTGGCCAAACGTGAGCCGATGTTTGCGTGTGTATGATTGATGGTCCATGTGAATGCGTGTGTCGTACAGGAAGCTGTAATAAGCGAGAGGGCCGCTGCAACTCCCCAGGTGTGTTTTCTTGGTGAGTTAGGTAACGCCGCTGCCCTAATTCTGGTACATGCACTGTCACGCACACACGCACACACACACACACACACACATGCTGCTCCAAACTGGACCAGCCAAGATGTACGGTGTGTGTGTGTGTGTGTGTGTGTCTGTGTCTGTGCCAGGTATCCATAGCGATGACTGCTGGGTGCTGACCTTCTCATTTACAGGTTATATAACTAACCAACTTGGCAGGAATCAGGTGAGGAGACAAGTGGGGGGGCATTAAAGTCGATTTAGGCCATTACGATCAGTAGAGATCACAGAAACTTTTGGAGACCGAAAACACGACTTATCTAGCTGTGAAAAAAAGAAATCCTCTTAGTGATGAAAGTATAATTACAGCTCCCATAATTCAATTTCATGCTAAAGCACTCCCATGTCTGGTAGCATTTGTGTCAGACGTTATGTGACACTCATCCGCCCAGAGGAGCAACCAGCAAATAGGCTTATTTCTCCCACACGGTGTCACTTTATACCAATATGCTACAGTTCAGTGATGAGATGTTGTACCAGGAAACAACAGCAGAACAGCTTCAGTGCAGCTTACTCACTTTAAACAGGTAATATGAATCATCCACTGTACTTGCCAAACATGCATTCACCCGCAATCCTGGACACTTTGTGGGCAGCGAAAAACTGTAGACATAACACTGGCATATCATCACCGTTGAAGCTGTTTGACGTGTTGGCAAACTGTTTCAGCGTGAGCAAACATCTGGAGTCATGTTCCTGACCTGCTCTGCTCGCCTATATAGCTCTGTTGTGGTCTCCGCCATCTCCTAAGGCAGCGATTCCCAAACTTTTTAGGCCACGCACCCCCTTCTACATCCCGACCGGGTTCACGCACCCCCAACCCCCCCCCTGCAGAGGCTGCAGTTGTTTTGGCTGTTTTGTAACTCCTCCAATTTCGATATAAAAAATGTAAGGGGCTTTTGACTTGCACTGGCATGCTTGGTGTTCAGGTGGCGACGTAAATAAGAGGGCTTCAGACAGCTGTTAGCCCCAGAGCCTCACTGCACTGTCTCCTAAAAATTACGTTCCCCCAAAACTAAAATGCATTCTCAATTACGTTTGACCAAAAACGTATTTTCTCCCTGATTACGTTTGTGTTTGACTTATTACAAATACGTTTCTAATCAACATTTTAACACTTTAACATTTTTTTCCCTCTCCACCACCGCCTCTCCTTCTCCCTATTACGCGGTCAGAATACTACCAAAACACCCCGCCTGTCTCCAGCAGAAACGCGCTCATCCAGGCCGAGCAACGAGGAACATTACGCGGCTACAATACCTCCACAAAGGCCCGCGTGTAAAATCCGGGAGTAACCGTGACCCTCTTAAGGGTTAGGTTTGGGTGGGGACGTGGCTTCCTAGTGGAAGTTATGGTTAGGGTTAGATGGATACAAATAAATAAAATATACCTCCATACCTCCCCAGCAACGAGGCACATCACCCGGCCACAATACCTCCAGAATGTCCCCCGGGTGAAATCCGGGATTGGTTTTGTGGTTCCGAGTGGCGGGCGCTCACCCGTTGGCGCCGGACGCGAGGTCTCCAGCCGCCCCCGCCGTGAGGCACCCCATCGTCGGGTCTGTCAGCCCTCGGAACAGGCCGCGGGGCAACAACTTGTGGGTGGCGGGGGTAGAGGCGAGGCAGATCACAGAAAAATAATAAAGACTAGAGTATGGCAAAGATATGTTGATGAGAAACGTATTTGTAACGTCAAACACAAACGTAATCAGGGAGAAAATACGTTTATGGTCAAACGTAATTGAGAATGCATTTTAGTTTTGGCGGAACGTAATTTTTAGGAGACAGGACTGCACCATTAGACCACCATTACATTTTTCCTCTCGCGCACCCCTTAGACGCAGCTCGCGCACCCCCAGGCGCACCACACTTTGGGAATCCCTGTCCTAAGGGAATGCTGTGGCTCTTTAGTGGCTAAATGCTCCACTAAATAGTCCACCAGCTAATCGCTAACTTTGTCTGTCTGCTGTCTGGTGCTGGACAGGCAGCACACATTGAGGGTTTCTCCAGAGCTTTTCCCCCAAAAAACAGACGCTGAGAACAGCGAGACTGAATGAAAACAGTGACACACTGGCCGTAAAAACAAAACTGGAGGACGCTAAAACGCTCTGCAGAGGACGTTAAAAGCTACAAAGCGGTCAGATTGTCAGATGAAAGCTACACTAAAGCTACACTGTGAGGTTTTTTTGGGACACGTCATTTCTCTGGCAGCAGAGAACGAGCTGGACTTCCACAGGAAACACAGCAGCAAATTAGACCCACAGCCTGCATGCTTTGTGGTTTGGTCAGACCTCTGCGTACGAACTGGAGTGACCCTGGGCCGGGTGAGGTCGGATTCATTGTTTCCAGTGACATTATAGCTGCCCATTTGATAGCCCACTGTGACAGAGAATTTCAATTAACGCAACAACGACAACAC